AGTTGTCTATCAGTTTTATGAACTCCTCTCTCGTCACCTCAATCTGACTCAGGTCTTTCAACACCCCTCCCGAACTCAGCGGTTCTGGAGTGGGCAAGCACTTCTCATCTTCCACAGTGAAGACGGAGGCAAAAAATGCATTTAGCTTCTCAGCCATTTCCCTATCATCCTTCAGTACTCCTTTTACCCCTTGGTCATCCAAGGGCCCCACTGCCTCCCTGGCTGGTTTCCTGCTTCCAATGTATTTGAAGAAAGTTTTATTGTTGGTTTTTACGTTTTTTGCTATATGCTCCTCATATTCCCTTTTTGCCTGCCTGACCTCAGACTTGCATTTTATTTGCCATAGCCTGTGTTCCGTTTTATCAGCCTCACTGTGACTACCTTTCCACTGCTTAAAGGAATCCTTTTTACCTTTTACAGCTTCCATTACTTTGTTTGTTAACCATGCAGGCTTTTTCCTATACCTGTTTGTGCCTTTCCTAACCTGTGGAATATATATTTTTTTAGCTTCTAGGATCATAGTTTTAAATAGTTTCCAAGCTTCCCCGATGGTTTTGACCCTTTCTACTTTTCCTTTCAGTTTCCTCCCCACATGTCCCCTCATATCAGAGAAGTTACCCCTTTTAAAGTTAAAAGTGGTTGTGTGAGTCTTTTTGGCCAATTCCCTATTTGTACAAATGTTGAACTCAACAACATTATGATCACTGTTCCCAAGTGTTGCAATCACTTTTACATCTCTCACCAGATCTTGAGTGTTACTTAGGACCAAATCAAGGATCGCCTCTCCCCTGGTAGGTTCCGTGACCATCTGCGCCATAGCACAGTCATTTAGAGTGTCTAGAAACGCAATCTCTTTTTCTCGACTAGAACACATATTGACCCAATCAATGTGTGGGTAGTTAAAATCACCTATTACGACACAGTGTTTTTTCCTAGCTGCTATCTTTAATTCATTCATCATTTTATAATCCTCCTCTATCTTTTGATCTGGTGGGCGATAACAAACTCCCAGTGTTAAGTTTCCTTTTGGCCCCCCTATTTCAACCCATAGAATTTCCAGATGCAAATCCAATTCTCTTAGCCTCTCAATCTTTCTGGACTTTATACCCTCTCTGACATACAGAGCCACCCCACCTCCAACCCTTCCCCCCCTATCCTTCCAATATAATACATAACCAGGAATCACCGTGTCCCACTGATTTTCCTCATCCCACCAAGTTTCTGAAATACCCACAATGTCAATTTTTCCCTCCAACACCAAGCACTCCAATTCCCCGATTTTACCTCGGACACTTCTAGCATTTGTATAGAAACAGCTGTAATTTCCCATACAAGTTAAGCCTGCCGATGGGTGCCAGAGGCTTCCCAGATGTTTGCGCCCTTTAAATCTGCCCGGCATTCGCACCTATGGCAGGACTAATTGTGCGTGTGATCACAGCCTCAGAGCGGCTTACAATCACCTTCCTTTCCTCTCCCCACAACAGATACCCTGTGAGGTGGGTGGGGCTGATAGAGCTCTGAGAGAATTGTGACTGGCCAAGGTAACCCAGCTGGAGGAGTAGGGAATCAAACCTGGTTTTCCAGATTAGAGTCCACCACTCTTTAACCACTACACCACAGCTAGCTTCTGGTGACATTTGTCTTTGGACTCCAACAGTCACTGCCTGAAATTCTGAGTGCTCTTGTTCTTTCCCCTCACCTAGCAAAAAACCACAATAGGTTCCCCAGTTAAGTTTCATTTAAAATAATAGAGTTGAGTTCGGGTCAGGAGCAAGTAAATTAAAAGATGACGGACACAGCCTGAAAATTGTTCTCACAATTCGTATTCTCTAACCATTGCACTCTGTTTCATTCCAAAGGAGGTCTAAATAAAACCAGCTCGCTGGTGCAAAACCATACATGGCAATATAAAAGGCTGGTGTAATTTCCTACATCAAAATATTTTCCCCCTTTCTGGATGTTCCCTTATGACAATACTACTAAATGAACCATTTTACACAACTGAACAACTAGGTCTTGTGAAGCTAGATTAAATTTTTAAGGACAGTTCAGCTCTCCTGATTGCAGCGAACAAACAAATCAGCCGGAACCCTGTCTTTTAATGCACATCCTTTGCTTTGAAGATTGTTCTTCATTCCAGAACATCAGTTTTTTGCAGAGCAAATACAGATAAGGTCTGCAGAAACTCTGATTTCTTAAATTTTTACCTGGCAAACTTTATCTCACCATACCTTTTATGGTCAAGCACCTGAAACTCTTTATTCTCCCCCACCCTCCAAATATCTTAAAATTCCACATGGCATTTTAAAAAATCCCACACCACAATATCCTCAAGGGGTGTTGTCTGCTTATTAAAAACCCCCCTGTAAGTCATGATTAATGCATTACCTGGAAAACAGTAACGATGGCCCAGAGCAAAGAATCAAAGTTCTTCCTGTCAGGAAGAGTGTCTCCATCTCTCTCTGAAGCAAACTTACAGCCAAAGAGGTGCATCCCAAGGATACTGTGTATAGGGGGGAAATATAGAATGATGTATTAAATAATTAGAACAAGACTGTCCTGAATGTAAACATAGACTCTTAACAATTTAATGAAGATGGGTAGCCATGTTAGTCTGTCTGTAGCAGTAGACAAGAGCGAGAGTCCAGTAGCACCTTAAAGACTAACAAAATTTGTGGCAGGGTATGAGCTTTCATGAATCACTGCTCACTTCTTCATACCCTACCACAAATTTTGTTCGTCTTTAAGGTGCTACTGGACTCTCACTCTTTTCTACTGTAACAGTTTAATGAAATGCATCTGGAACACAATTCCTTGCTACATCCACCTTCTCTCCCAAAGAATCTAGCCCATAAATTCCAGCCCTGCACCATGTCTTGCAGCAACTAGTAACTGAATGCTCACATAGATTAACAGCCATTTAGGGGGACATCAAAGTTAGGCCAGTGTCAAACTCGGGGCCTCATTTGCCGTGGGTATTGTATGTTCTATCTTCACTGCCTATAACCACACCATTGAGATTCTGTATATTGGGGCATTTGGGGGCATATGATGAGAGTATGTATGTGTGGGAAACTGCTTTGCTTCACCGCTGTGCAACTGTTTTCTTAAGAGGCCTCCTGAAGCTGGGAAGTATGCGAAATGACCTTGGATGCCTGTCTCTGCTAGCCGGCCTGTGGTAGATAATATAACTGTAGGTTTGCAGGAGGGGGAGGAGGGCTAACGGAGCGCACTAGGTTTAGACGGGCTGAATGAATGGATTGATTGGATAGGTCACGGAGGGGGGGGGCTTGTTTGAATCATGTATAATACCAGAACTGGCACCAAATGAATTAGTTCTGACACAAGATGATCTCAGCTAGATATATCTTCATCTCTCAATAAACAAATCACTGCCAAGAGAGTGTTGTTGAGAGCAAGTTTGTTCAAGAGTCTGACAGCCAATATTCCCTCTAAGCTGGGTTAGTGTGCGCTAGCTCACAGTTTTTTAGCCCCTGGCTCACACATTTTTGTCTTAGCTCAGGAAGGATGGCTCCAGAGCAAGCTAATTTATACAGTAGCCAAATCGCTTGCTCACAACTTTAATGCCAGTAGCTCACAAAGTAGAATTTTTGCCCACAAGACTCCACAGCTTAGAGGAAGCATTGACAGCCAGTGGGTTTTAGTCCTCTTCTGAAGTGTAAGATTCCTTAAGGGTAAGGGTAACACTGAAGGGTAAGATTTCTTAAAGTATCGTAAGGATTTCTTCATATCTGGGAATTAGGGCCATCTTTAATGTAACCATTAATGTAACTATTAAAGACCATTCAGATAGGAAAGTACAGATTTCCAAAGTGGCAGTACAACTTATTAAACCACTTCCCTCTTAAAGAACTCACCCTAGGAACTCTGCCCCATTTTGGCTGATCCCACCTTGATGCACAGAAACATAAGGGTGCAAAAAAGAAATAAGCAGCTTTACTGAGGACTGACCTGAAGATAAAGATGAAAAGCATCAGCAACATGCAGAAAGTGGCCACATTGTCCATTGTTTTCATGAGGACCACTAGCTGGCGCTGGAGAGCAGGCATGAAACGAACCAACTTCAGGACCCGCATAAGACGGAAGGTTCGTAGAACAGACAGGCCTCCACCCTGCTGTCCCACTATCTCCCAGACACTAAGAAAAGAAATTCTAATGTTAGTTTGATGGTTGATGAGACACACAACATTAGTGCGTCATAGTACATATTAAAAAGTGCCAAAAACCTGTGATGAAGTGGGAAAGCTAGCTAATGTAGTTCAGTGCCAAATGGATGTGAAGCAGGGATGCTCTTAGGATACGTCCTTTCACCTAAGTCTAAGCTAGATGTTCAGAAATTATGTGTCCCAAAGACATGAAGGCCCAGAACGAAAAATGGAAAACACTTTTTCTATTCTTTTCCATTTCATTTCATTTTGAGAAAAACTTCTGATCATTGAAACAATGTGGTCACATTGCAGGCCTGTGGAATCATGAGCTTTCCCCCCCTCTAGAAGCATGAATTCCATCTTTCTCTGTATGTTGACGTCTGCAATCTATTTCTATACAGCCTTCTTCTTGCTTCCTATGATGTTAGCCCATCCTGTAACACTGAGTATATGTGCAATCATTATTTGATGAAAAATAAAAGGCATATACTTTTTTATTTCAACGCTATCATTTCAGGAGTTTGTTGCTAACAAAGTCATAAATATGGCATTTCATGTTCTTGATGGGATGTGTTTAAGCTGGATAAGGGAACTCAGTATTGCATGCATATCAGTTTTTCACCATGGTTTCAGAACTTCTGAAAATGTTGCATTCCAGAGGGGCATTGTGTTCCTCTATTGCAACAAAACATAAAGGTGATTTGCAGCACCCTTAAAGACTAATTTTATTGTGGTGTAAGCTTTTCATGGACTAGAACCCATTTTGTCATATGCATGAAATGTAATGTTCATTTGGCGGGGTGTGTGTGTGTCACACGTACACTTTTAAACACATCTACACATGAATTCAAACAGAAAACGACTGGGAAGTTACTACAAGGGGAGGCCAGAAGGCCCAGCATTCTTAGATAAAGATGTGTTGTATCAAATTACGGGTCACTCGGCCTCTTTCCGCCTCTGTATATGTGTGTCTGAGACAAGACTGATTTGCTTCTTCACTGTACCACTTCATGCAGCTGATGCATCAGATCCAGCTTTGGAAGTTCATATCACAACACATTTCTCTATGTACCAGAAGCCTTTCTGAAGCTTTGAAAATTTTAAGTTTCTAATCAGAAACGGGGATTCACATTTTTAAAAGACCGCATACATGGTAGAAGAGATTGCATGTGCAAGGAGGTATGGAGGCATTTTAAATTTATCATACTCCATGTATGGACTGGATCACTGCCTTGGCAGTGCCAGGTTGGACCACCTTGCCTGAGGCCCATTTGAATGTTTCACCCCAACCCTGTTTAGGCAGCAAGTGCATTTTAGCTTGCCCGCAGAGCCAAATGGGCCCAACGTGGCTTCAGATGGCTCCGCAGGATCCGATGTCCCCTGGCAATTCGTTAGATGAGCTTGTATATGACTGGCATAGCCAACTCTCTACAGCCATCAATGAGATTGCTTCCAGATGCCCTCTGTGCCCTCACTCTAAGCTTGCACCTTGATACACCCAGTAGTAGCAGTTGATGAAGCAAAGGCTAAGACTGCTAGAGAGACAGTGGCGATGAGCCCATGATGAAGCGACAAGAACATCCTATAGGACGTTTATGAGATCCTATGAGATGGCAGTCAAAGCCACAAAGAAAGAGTACTATGCAGCTTCAATTGCGTCTGCAAGCTCCTGCCCAGCCCAATTGTTTAAAATGATTCAGTCCATGATGACTCTGCCTCAAGGCAGGTCAAATGCTAGGGAATTGGACATTGGCTGTGAGGCTTTCACGAGCTACTTCGCAGATAAAGTCTTGTCGCTCAGCTGTGACCTCCCTGCCACAGTTGAGACAGTGAGTGAACTCGAGGCTCCATACATGTTTTCTAGGCAGGTGATGGATCATTTCAGTCCACTCAGCCTAGAGGAAGTCAACAAATTGCTCTTAACTGTGTGCTCCACCATGTGTCTCCTTGATCCGTGCCCATTGTGGCTACTCAAGGCTTGTCATGATGGGTTCTGAGATGCCCTAGGGGAGATTATCAACAAGTCCCTCTTGGAGGGTCTATTCCCTGAGACACTTAAGGAGGCTGTGGTCCGTCCCCTCTTGAAAAAACCATCCCTGGATCTGGCTGAATTGACTAACTACTGGCCAGTTTCCAATTTGCCCTATTTGGGCAAACTAATTGAGAGGGTTGTGGCAGTCCAGTTACAAAGCTTTTTGGATGACACTTCCATCTTAGATCCCTTCCAGTCCAGTTTTTGCCCGGGACATGGGACAGAGACAGCACTGGTTGCCCTCATGGATGACCTCTGGAAGCACCTGGCTTGAGGTGGATTGGCAGTGCCATTTCTGTTGGACCTGTCAGCAGTGTTCGACACAGTCGACCATCAGCTACTGATCCACCGCCTTGCCAACTCTGGAATTCAGGGGCTTGCCTGCAATGGCTTACATCCTTTTTTCAGGGTCGGGGACAAAGGGTGGCACTAGGGGAACCGAAGGTACCCACTGACTTGTGGAGTGCCTCAAGGGGTGGTACTCTCCCCGATGCTGTTTATCATCTATATGGACCCCCTTGCCCAGATTGCCCAGAGGCATGGACTGGGATGTCACCAATATGCAGATGACACCCAGCTCTATCCGTTGTTGAGCAGCCAGTCTGACTCTATACTGGAAGATCTGGACCAGGTGTTACAAACAATGCTCCCTCTAAGGTGTGGAGTCTTGTGAGCAAAAATTCTACTTTATGAGCTACTGGCATTAAAGTTGTGAGCAAACGATTTGGCTACTGCATAAATTAATTTGCTCTGGAGCCATCCTTCCTGAGCTAAGACAAAAATCTGTGAGCCGGAGGCTAAAAAACAGTGAGCTAGCTCACACTAACTCAGCTTAGAGGGAACAGTGGTTACAAGCTGTGTCTGGTTGGCTTAGATTGAGTCAACTGAAGACAGAGGTCCTGTCCCTGAGCCGGGGCCCCGAGGGTAGGTATCCCACTTCTGACCTTCAATGGAGCACAGTTGGTTCTAGCGCCAGAGGTTAGGAGTTTGGGAGTGCTCTTGGATACCTCTTTAACAATGGAGGCCCAAGTAGCAACCATGGCCGAGTCAGCCTTTTATCATCTTCAGCTGATCAGGCAGTTGGTTTTCTTCAACAAATGCAACAACTTGGGAACAGTGATCCACACGATGGTCACCTCAAGATTAGACTACTGTAATGTTCTCTACATGGGACTGCCCTTGTCCCAAGTCTGGAAGCTGCAGCTAGTGCTAGTTGATGGGTCTCTCTATGTGGGAGCACATCCAGCCTGTGCTAAAAGCATTGCACTGGCTGCCAATAGATTCGCTTCAAGGTGCTGGTTTTGACCTTTAAAGCCCTTTATGGTCAGGGTCCAGCATACCTAAGAGAGGCCTTTCCCCATACGTTCCCCAGAGAGCACTGCATTCAGAGGCCCAAAACTGTCTGGCCCTCCCAGGCCCTAAAGATGCCAGGTTGGCAATAACCAGGGTCAGGACCTTCTCAGTGGTGGCTCGGTACTGGTAGAATGAGCTCTCAGAAGAGATCAGAGCCCTGTGGGACCTTTTACAGTTCCGCAGGGTCTTCAAGACTGAGCTCTTCCACCAGGCCTTTGACTAGGAGCCGCATTAAATACCTGAGAAGTGACCCTGTGCCTTGGCCTATAACCTACAGCCTGTGCCCACCGCATATATCATTCAATCTATTGAACTGGTGTGAGATTACCATCATGATTGTCACCTAAGTAGTACTATTTAATCTTGAAACTCTGCTCATGCACTTTATTAAAATAATGTTCCATCACTTTAAGATAACTAATATTTAACTGTTATGGCACTTTTATGAATGATTTTAATTGTTTGTGTGTGTGTGTGTGTGTGTGTGTGTGTGTGTGTGTGTGTGTGTGTGTGTAAGCCGCCCTAAGCCTGCCTGGGCAGGGAAGGTGGGATATAAATTGAATGAATGAATGAATGAATGAATAAATAAATAAAATGTAGGGCTAGTTCCATGTTACGTGACGTAATCAAATGGAAATACCCTGTAGAGAGCTGTACACTTGAGGTAATATCTATCAATTACATTTAAAATAAAGAGGCATGTGCTTGCTTTGCAGTCATTTCTGCTTTATGTTTACGATACTACAAGGAAGGAAGGAAGCAGCATTGGGCAGATTCCATTCAACAGCTCCCCTACATGAAGGAGACAAGACCAAGAATGGTGCAGTTGAATGTAAGCACAAGAGATGGAGACAACACTCATCATTATAAAGTTTTCACAGCATTTATGGAGTGCATGTTCTAATACATGAAGCAAAGGAACCACAAATCAATAAGGATTACAGTCTTTCCACACTACTTTCCTGAGGCTTCATTACAAAACTCATTTAGGAAAAATCACTAAGATGGTTCATAAGGACTACTCTGTGTCAGTTACCTGATTACTACAATTATTCCATCAAAGATATTGTATGGACTTTTGATGTAGCCAAAAGGGCCATACACAAGGAGCTTCAGAAGCATTTCTAGAGCAAAAAGACTAGTGAAGACAATATTGCTGATTTCCAGAGCATTGGTAAGTTCTTCAGGCTGGAAAAAAATAAGAAGAAGAAAAATTACAAGAGGAAATCAATGCAAGAGACAAGGAAACTCAAAGTAAAGTGAATTATAAATCAGTAAATATATTTATACAAGACAGCAAGACAAATCTGAGAATCCCAGGGTCAATATTAATTCACACCTTCTGGATGCTTCTCTGGAGCCCCCAAAGCAAATATGATGTAGACTTTGGAATACTGATCAGATGTTTAACTTCTGTCTTTCTACCAAGTAATGATAGGTCACTAGCAGTAAACAATTGATAACAAAATGTAAATTTGTCACTATATATTTCACTATTAATTAATACATATTAAATACAATGCTAAAATACAGTGACATTTGTATAACTGTCTTACATTATCCTCCCTAGGACCATCATATATGCTAATTAAGGGATTTCAGAAAATTTACTTCAATATGAAATCAGTATTTTGAATAAAAAGTGGTTTTTTAGTTTCCCTCTCATTTTTGAGTATGCATCTTAAGCCCCGATCTTAAAGGACCTCATCTCAAAATTATATATTGTCCCTATAATAATTAAACCAATTCAAATATATTCAAATCACAAGCCGCTTTTTATTAAAGGTAGGCCTTATGTACTTAAAAAATAGTCAAAATTTAAGGTTGCATTACTGTAGAATTGCAGGAACAGATATATTGCTATTTAGAGATCCATTACACAGTTATTTAAGAAGTATTGTGTGGGGTCCAGTGGATCTGTCAGTGCAAGGAGTGTTACTGTTTGCCCTATTGCCCTTTACCAGAAGTCCTTTCTGATTCCAGAAATGCTGTTGCCTTGAGTTGCAGCATCCCTGTGGATGAACAGGTTGGGGAGCTGCAGCGAAAAGGAAGAAGGGGTTGCCCTTCATTCTGCTTCTATCAGTGGAGTTGCACTTGTAGAATAAGGAGGAGGAGGAGTGATTGTCAGACCTCTGGGTAAATCAGTTCCCAACAACATTCACTTTGAAGAAGGATAAGTTTATTAAGACAATGATAGCATTCAGCCTGTATGTTGGCTGTGTTAGAACTGAGATTAAAGGCGCAAAAGCAATAGATATACAGGGTTCAAGCAGGGACCCTAAAAGGTTCAGAACCAGTTACCCCATGGGATTTCTCCAGTACTTTGATATTATTTACAAGGGTTATACAGGTTTTACTGGCCCTGCCTGGCTGCAGTATGATGAGGAGTTCCGAATGAGGGCAGCCATGAACACTTCTTTGTGGTGGGACCAAATACATCCCCATCTATGGCTGCAGGTCATGTTGCCAACGTGACCTAACACAGGTGATAGGTTGCATAGTGACCACTTTGTCCAATGCTTGCCAGTAGCTTCTACTCCCCACAGCCAGGTGGGGCAGGCAGTTCAACCCCGCCAAATCTGTTGGAAATTCCGTTGAAACCAGAGATTATATTACTGAATTATTGGCAAGAAGTTAATATTCCACAGATTAGGAAAGATCTGATAATGATACTTTTTACGGCAGCCAAGACTACAATAGTGTCATGCTGGAAGGAAACAGATAAACCATTAATTAAAAATTGGTACTCTAGAATTTGGGACCGTTTGATTTTGGATAAAATCTCGGACTCTCTAGCAGATAAAGATCCTTCATTGGGACCTTCCTATTATTTGGAAAGATGGTATCCAATTCTAATCAAATTGGAAGACATTCTTGAAGGGAATACACAGTCTACAAATTATTGTTATCTTAATCTCCTGAAAGTAAGTTGGTTAATTTAATAACCCCTAATGTAGTATTTGTTGTATTAGTTGTAGATATTTTGTTGTTAATTTAATATTTATGTTTTTGTTGTGTATTGTGTATTGGAGGACTGTGATTTGAATGACGGTGTAACATGTTTTTGCTTCAGAACCTATAAAGGTTAGTCAAGAATAGAAGAGGGCCAACTCTTAAAATCTAATTATGAAACCTAAAAAATATATACATGTATTTATTAAACACAAATTAAAATAACGAATAAGGGCCCATTCATACCTCATATACAAATATAAAAACACACAAAGGCTGATGAAATAGACCTAATGCGTTTCGGCCTTTGCAGGCCTTCCTCAGAGGTCTAATACAAATAGAACATGTTGGCTGATATGTAAAAATATATACAATCATACATATACAGAATATGAAATAGAGACCAGAAAATAATTGTTCCAAAGTTTAACCACTGGGCAAAGAATAGAAATACAAAAATACAAATAAAACCTCCAGTGCAATCACATGTCCAGTAGTACTTCTCTCTGGTCAACTTATATATTCTCCTGAGCTTTATCTGGTATTCTCCTGAGCTTTATCTGGTGTTTTGTTCTGGGTGAGATTAAAGTGATTTAAGAGGAGGAACAGATTATGCTTCTTTGTCATGGCAGGTCACTGTTTGCTTGGGTTTAGATTTACAGGGATACCAAGAGTTTGCAGGCGTGTGGAATTGATTAAAATGATCCACCCCGAGAGTCAGTTGGATCCAAACAACTTTCTGACAACTCTAGGGAATTTCCTGTTGATATCACTGGTATCGCTGATGCTCCTGACAATGCTTCATTTTCCTATAGAATGAGGAATGGCCCAGGGGGCTGACACAATCACACCCAGGCACCCTCTCTCAGGTGTTAGATCCCAGGTAGCCCCTTGGTTTACTGTGTCTAATGGGTTGGAACCTTGGCATTATCATGGTATGAACCACCTTGAGCTTGACGAGATTTAGCTGACATGAGAGTAGAAAAAAACTTACTCAGCACCTTCAATGCCATATCATAGACCTGCAAATGGACTCTTTTCCTTGCTCTCAAAATGTAAAATACTTTAAGATGTGCTTGAGTCTTACGGAATTAAATTGGATTTAAGTGTCTTTCATAAGGCTGAACACAGAATTGCTAGTTTTGGTTGTGTCTCAAAGCCACCACAGTGGCATTGGGAAAATTAAGCATCTAACAGATAATCCCATATGATTTATTTGGAACATTTAATTTTCCTTCTTGATTTTTAAAGTTTTCTTACATGTTCATTACATTCCCCCCCCCCCATGAAACATTTCACCCTGCAGAGTTGGAAACAAGTCATTTTGACCTCATCATATCACTGGAAGGTGATACAGAATGAGGTGGGCTGACACTTGTGAGAGGCCGCTAGGAGAAAACTAAATTCCTACAAAGGATCAAGAAAATGCTCACTGATAGAAACAGAGATGTCACCTACAAAATTGCTAAGTATGGTTGGCTGGTAATTAAGTTGAGGAAAATATGGATAAATCATGCTAGTTGAAATTTTAGAGATGGTTTTATAAGTAATTTAAGTTATGTCACTTAATATTTTAGGTTATTAGTGGTTTATTTATGTATTTTATAAATATTATATTCCTGTATAGGGAACAGAAATGTTTTAAGTTTGGGGTTTTACTTCTTTTACTGTGTACTGGTCAATGACTGGAATAAATTTATTTACTTACTTACAAAGGGAATGGGAGAAAGAACAGAGTAAAAAAACAAGCTAGGTGAGGGTACAGCTGTGCACATACAGCAGAACAGATGTTCTTTGTGTGCTTACTGCATCTTGGGTATTTTGAACTCCTTTTGGCTACGAGGTCACTTGCATCATCAGGGTTTGGATTACTTTAGCATACAGTGCTCCTTACCTCTCCAAATAATCCAATTGATCACACATGCTGATTTGAGACTAGGTTCTCCACATCCAGCCCTTCCCAAAAGGAATATTCTTTTGGGGAAAGACTGGATGTGGAAAACCTAGTCTCAGAGTACAGGTTCTGACTGTGCTGGTTCATCTTGGCAATGAGAGCAAAAGCTTGTGCCCCATTAGCCAATATTACAAACTAGGGGTTGGATCCAACCAGCTTTTCCATTGGTGAAAAAGTGGTTGTCCTTCATCCTCTCACCAGGCTAAACTAGAAATAATGGGAATTGCATGGATTACCCCAAAGTGGTGTAGTGGTTACAGTATTGGATTAAGCCCTGGGACATGGAGGCTTGAATCCCCACTCTGTCATGGAAATTCACTGCATGACCTTGGGCCAGTTGCATATTCTCAGTCTAACCTACCTCACAGGATTGTTGTGAGGATAAAATGGAGAAAGGGAAAATGTTGTAAGCCACTTTGGGTCCCCAGTGGGGTGAAAAGTGGGATATAAACAAAAGAAAATAAATGATTAAAATTGGCAAAAACTTGTACAGACGGGCTGTAGTAAGGTCGAGAGATGAGTATAACTGAGTGATAAATATGGTTTGAGTCCTACAGCCATTTAGGTTATTTAAATGCTGTTCAAGTCAGTGGGATTTAAGTTGCTATATCGACTGCAGGTTTGGAGCCTAGCTCTCAGGAAATATTTGTATTCATTCAAAGAAAAGGAGTAAAGCTCTCAATCAAAATGAGAAAAAGAATTGTAGCTTAATACTTTAAAGATTTCTAGCTCTGTTCAAAACAGCCTGGGTTAAATGTTCATGTATTCATATAAACTATACTGCAGAACTGTGGATAGCTGATCCCCACACCATCACTTGAGACAAGAGCAGCAGTCATCTTGGCAACATGCTGGAGTTTGCCCCCTTGCCAGAGTTTCAGATGTGTTCGGGGGACCAATCCCATGGGGTTCAAGGTCAGCTGCTTGGCACAGAGGTTGCCAGATACATTCCTAGATCTCACTGGATATCCCCCTCATGTTCTGGGCAATGTTCCCTCTAAACTGTGGAGTCTTGTGAGCAACAATCCTACTTTGTGAGCTACTGGCATTAAAGTTGTCAGTGAGTGATTTGGCTGCTGCATAAATTAGTCTGCTCTGGAGCCATCCTTCCTGAGCTAAGACAAAAATGTGTGAGCCAGGGGCTAAAAAACTGTGAGCTAGCTCATGCTAACTCAGCTTAGAGGGAACACTGGTTCTGGGTTTCTTCAATATAAAACTCCCCAAGAAATGCCACACCCTTCTGGATCTGGGAGCTTCAGCCTGGTGTTCAAGTCCCTGAGTG